GTAGCTAGGCCGAAGTAGGAGCGAAAGTCCGTTGCCCGTCCGCCGGTGGCCGGGATGTGTCCCAGTTGGGCCGGGCGGTGTCCCGGGTGTCCCGGGTGTCAGTAGGAGCGAAAGTCCGTTTCCCGTCCGCTGGTGGCCGGGAGGTGTCCCAGTTGGGCCGTGCGGTGTCCCGGGTGTCCCGGATGTCCCGGGCGTCCTGGCGCTAACGCATGTCGCTAATTTCATATTTTTTTGTTTCGGCGCCTGCGGCAGGCTTTCTTATCCAATCCAGCCTTATCCAATCCATCTAGTCCAATCCAATCCATCTTATCTTATCCAACCCATTTTGTCCCATCTTATCTTATCCCACCCAATCCAATCCACCCAACCCAACCCATTAATTCATTTGTTTCTGCGCCTGCGGCGGGCCAATCCAATCCATCTTATCTTATCCAATCCGTCAGGGTGGGCATTTGATCTCAATCCTCCCCAACCTCCTTATCGCCCGCAGGGCGGTCGTATCGGTAGATATATACATATTCAAATACCTATACGACGACAACCCTTCGGGTAATAAGGAGTTTGTGGGTGGGTGGGTGGAGAGGGGGGAAACAACATCTGACGGGACACCAAGGGACACCACGGGACACTTATCGATCTCACTATCGATTTCACTATCGACCTCCCTCAACGGGACACCACGGGACACCGCGGGACATCTCTCGATCTCACTATCGGTCTCACTATCGATCCCACGATCGATCTCACCCAACGGGACACCACGGGACACCACATCGATTTCATTATCGATCTCACAATCGATATTCGTATGGATCTCACTCGACGGGGCACCAAAGGACACCACGGGGCACTTGTTGATCTCATTATCGATCTCACTATCGATCTCACTTTTTGGGACACCACGGGACACCTCGGGGCTCCACATCGACTTCACTATCGATCTCACTATCGATCTCACTCAACGGAACACAACGGGACAGTTTTCGATCTCATTGTCGATATCTTACCGATCTCCTTTTTTGGGACACCACAGGACACCACGGGACACCTCGGGGCACCACATCAATCTCACTATCGATCTCACTACCGATCTCACTCAACGGGACACCACGGGACACCTGTCGATCTCACTATCGATCTCACTTGTTGGGACACCACGGGACACCTCGGGGCTCTACATCGAACTCATTTTCGATATCACGATCGATCTCACTATCGATCTCACTCAACGGGACACCACAAGACATCACGGGACACCTGTCGATCCCATTTTCGATTTCATTATCGATCTTTTCTTTGGGACACCACGGGACACCTCAGGGGTCCGCATCGATCTCAGTATCAATTTCGTTATCAATCTCACGATCGATCTCATTCAACGGGACACCACGGGACACCACTGGACACCTGTCGCTCTCATTTTCGATCTCATGATCGATCTCATTTTCGGCACAAAACGGGACACCACGGGACTCCTTTGGGCACCACATCGATCTCATTATCGATCTCACCCAACGGGACACCACCATTGGACACCACAGGACACCACGGGAAATTTGTCGATCTGATTATCTATCGATCTCACTACCGATCTCACTCAACGGTCATCACGGGACACCACTGGACATCTCGGGACACCGCTAGGGCCACCGCCGGACGGACGGATGGAGGCAGGAGAAACATTTGTCTTGACTTCGCGCTAGCAACGGCGGGTTCATTCCTCTCGCGCGCCCACGCAGCTTCGCCTCGCCCGCACGCACGACACGAACGAAGCGAAACGATTTCCCGGTTGGGGGTCGCCGTTCCACTGCGATCTCATTCCCCAACTTCCGATATATATATATATATATATATATATATATATATATATATTATACATGTATGTATGTGTGTATGTATGTATGTAGGTAGGTAGGTAGGCAGGCAGGCAGGTAGGTAGATAAGTAGGTATGGCATGCATGCATGCATGCATGCATGTATGTATGTCTGTCTGTCTGTATGTATGTATGTATGTATGTATGTATATCTATATATATACATGTATATATACATATATATATATATACATATGTGTTTATCGGAGGTTTGGGGGTGAGTCCGACGTGAAACGGAGACACCCCCTACCGGGAAATCCATTTCGGTTTCGGGTTCGTGTCGTGCGTGCCGTGCGTGCGCTCGGGCGAGGCGAAGCTGCGTGGGCGGGCGAGAGAAAAATCTTCCTGTGGCTGGGCCGCGGCCGGACCAAATGTTCTCCTCCTCCGGTGGCCCGCGGTGTCCCGCCGGTGTCCCGCCAGTGTCCCGAAATCCTCCTGTGGCTGGGCCGCGGCCAGACCAAATGATTATCCTCCGGCGGCCGGTGGCGCGCGGTGTCGCGCCGGTGTCCCGCTGGTGTCCCGAAATCCTCCTGTGGCTGGGCCGCGGCCAGACCAAATGATGCTCCTCCCGTCAAACGGTGGCCCGCGGTGTCCCGCCGGTGTCCCGCCAGTGTCCCGAAATCCTCCTGTGGCTGGGCCGCGGCCAGACCAAATGATTATCCTCCGGCGGCCGGTGGCGCGCGGTGTCGCGCCGGTGTCCCGCTGGTGTCCCGAAATCCTCCTGTGGCTGGGCCGCGGCCAGACCAAATGATGCTCCTCCCGTCAAACGGTGGCCCGCGGTGTCCCGCCGGTGTCCCGCCAGTGTCCCGAAATCCTCCTGTGGCTGGGCCGCGGCCAGACCAAATGATTATCCTCTGGCGGCCGGTGGCGCGCGGTGTCGCGCCGGTGTCCCGCTGGTGTCCCGAAATCCTCCTGTGGCTGGGCCGCGGCCGGACCAAATGATGCTGCTCCCGTCAAACGGTGGCGCGCGGTGTCGCGCCGGTGTCCCGCCAGTGTCCCGCCGGTGTCCCGCCGTGGTTTGTGCGCCGCTTGCGGCGAGCTATCCAATGCAAGTCTGCATGCAAACCGACATGCAGACCGAAGAGCACATCGAAATGCAAATCGACTTGCACATCCAAATGCAAATCGTAAGGCGCCGTGGGCGCCGCGGCGAGCTTTCCAATGCACGTCGACATGCAAATCGAGTAGCAAATCGAAATGCACATCGTCATGCCGTGCTGTATGCTGTGCCGTCGTTGTCGCTGTCGGACCGCAGCCAGTTGCCCAAGCAAAACCGGCATACCAATCGCGGTTCCGCCTTGGAGCCCGTCCGAAACTTCGGCCGGTGCCGCCCCACAGGCATCGTCAGAACAATAATCACAACTTTTGCCCATTGCTGCCCCCGCCCAACCGTGGGGCCCAACCTCCTTATCACCCGCAGGGTGGTCGAAAAGGTGTGTGTATATAGAGAGAGAGAGAGAGAGAGAGAGAGATTCCTTGTTTCCTATGTGTCTACAATCTGGGGCTCTGCGCTCCCCCCCCAGACGGGACCTCCCCGAATCCCTGGCCACAGGGGTCCCAGCCCCCAGGACGCCTCTGCGGACGCTCCGCCGTGCTTCCGGGGGCGGCTCCTGAAGCCCCTGCTGGTGGGGCGTTGCGCAATGGGGGGTCAGAACTGTAACTGGGGGGAGGGGGGGCGAGGGCGGCCCGAAAAAAAGGTGCCCAAACGGTACCAAACGAGCCCCCTGGGGCTCCGCGGGGGCCCGAGAGGGGCACGAAAGGGGACCGTTTCTGATCGGACCCACTTAGGACCCCCATGAAGCCACGCCCAAGCTGGGCCCAGGCAGCGGGCCCAGACCGTTCAGGAGGGCGGCCGAGCGGCCCCGCGATTATCAGGAGGGAAAGAAACACACAGACACAATGTATCGTCGACTCCCAGGAAAATGTGCAAAAATATGGGAAGTGGTGGGGAAGACAAAAAACCCAGAAAATACAGGAAAATATGGGGGATATTTTTATTTGTGTGTGCATTTATTTGTGTGTTCCAGTTCCCCTTCAGAGCCCAGACGCAGAGGCCCCGGACACCCACCGACGCCCGACGGCGACCCAGAGAAGACCCCTAGGAGGCTGTCGTAACGCAGACGTTGAGCTCCATGTGTTTCTGTCGGATTTTGCTAGTGCTCTGTTCTTCTGTTTTCTGGGCGTTCGAGACCGTCCAGGGGACCGGACAATCGTCCCAAAACTACCCAAGAGGGCTTCCAGGCAGTCCAAGAGGAGCCCCAAGACGGCCCAGCAAGGCGCCAAGACACGCCCGAAGAGAGCCCCATGACAGTCCAAAATTGCCCCAAGGCGGCCCCCGAATCATTCCAAATCGTGACCCGGGCCTTCAGGGAGACCGCGGTTGGAAGCAGGGTGGTCCGAGGAAGCCTCCAGAGGCCCCCAGAAGAAACCCGGGAGCCCTCCAGAAGGCCCCAACAAGCTCTGAAACACTTTCGTCGTGAGACCCCAAGGAGCTCTCCAAGGAGGAGCCTCCGCTAAAAAAGCTGAGGACGGGGACGAACTCACAGGGCAGGGCGAGAATGAAGAAGAGAAGTAGGAAGTATGAGGGAACAGTAACGGACCACATTGTTACAACGACGATTCCAGAAAAGACTACAAAGAGTTATCGCTGGATGTTCAGTTTCATGTTCTTGCCCTCCTGCTTGCATGCCAAACTTCAAGCACCAAGGAGCATGGCGCAAAGCGCCAATGCAGTCTTGTGTTAAATGTATGAGCTCTGCCCCGTACTCTGTACTCCGCACTTTTCACCCTGTACTCTCTACTCTGTCTGCACTCTCGTAGCCGCAGGAGCCTGGCCGCAATCCGGAAGCCGACAACCTAAGACCCTGAAGCGAAAAACCATGATACCCGGCCGCTTGCCGAAACTTGCGGCGAATTTTCACAGCATTCTCCGGCAGCCGCGAGAACCTAAGAGCCCAGAACTGGGAACGGGGAGCCCCAGCCGGTGCGCCATTCGAACTTGGCCGTGGATGTGGGCCAAATTTCGCCTAGCTTCTGCGAGGACTCTTCAGTCCTCTCTGCTGAGGAAAAGCATCTAACATCTAGATCCGCCAAGACGTGTTCTGACGTGCCTCCGCGTGCCGAGAGCCGCGTGGCGGCGTGCCTCAAGGACATGCAGGAGGAAGGCCTGACGCTGAGCTCGTCCGCGTGCCAGTGCCTAATGGCTGGCGTGGCCGGCTCTGGTGGATTGCCTCTCCGTGGGCGCCACGATTCAGGTCGGGCGAAGAGAATTATGCACATGCGCCGATCCTGGCAAGGCCCATCGTTGACCCAGGATCGGTGCATATGCTGTCCTGGCCACGGTAGGAGGGCGTATGCACCGACCCTGGGCTCAGGATGGGCTTGGCCAGAATCGGTGTATGTGCATAGTTCTCTTTCCTCTATCAGGAGAACAAAAAATGGTTTCTCCGGAGGAGGGCACGATCAGGCAGAACGACCCGACCTGCGATGTCGAAGAGAAGACGCCTCCAACTGGAGAGCCAGGTATGCAGCACATTGCCCCAGAGCGTGCGACTCTGCGAGCAGCGGCTCCGACGTTCGTCCCGAGAAGTTGTGGTCCTGTACCCTCGATGCTGTGCAGTGAGGCCCTTTACCAGGATAAGTTCGCGAAGATGAGCATGCAGCAGATGGGGCAGCTGGGTCCTCTCGATGCTGCGCAGTTGGGACCCCCTCCTGGTCTGCATGATGATCTCGCGCAGATGGCACTGCAGGGGGTGGGCCCTCTCGAAGCAGCGCAGCTGGGTCCCCCTCCAGGTCTGCAGGATGAGTTCCCGGACATGGCAATGCAGCAGGTGGGGAGGCAGTGCGACGAATACACCACCGTGATGATGCGCAATTTGCCATGCAATTTCTTGCGCGAAGATCTTATCGCACTGATGGACGCGAATGGCTTTGCTGGGTTCTACAATTTGGTATACATGCCGATCGATTTCACTACCGGAATGGGCATGGGATACGGGTTTGTGAATCTGGTCTCTGCGGATGTGCTACCGCGCTTCCAACTCGCCTTTGAAGGCTTCAGGAAGTGGCCTACCCCGTCTCAGAAGGTGTGCACCATCATGCTGTCCAAGACGCAGGGCCTGTACGCGAACGTCCATCGCTATCGGAACAGCCCTGGCATGGGCGAAGGCGTTCCCGAGCGGTTCAGGCCCGTGCTCTTCCGCGGGACTTCGCGGATTCCCTTCCCGGCGCCCACGATCGGATGGTCGAAGCGGTGCCGAGACGTCCAGGCCCGTTGCGCTTCTCAGTGGGGCCAGTCGTGCGCAGCCCCTCCTTGCTGCCCCTGATCGGGTGGAATCTTGTCGTACGCTGTCCCCCAAGACCTCCGACATCGTGAAAGCTTTCGCGACGCGGGCCTCCGGAGCTGCATGCCCGATCCACGAGTCGCTTGTCTCTAGGCCTCCTGCACGGGGTCGGAGCAGATGGGGTCGGAGGATCGCGCCATATCGCCGTTGCATCGCCGATGCGGTTCGATGTGGAGCCCGATTTTCTCCACGCCAGCGTCGCCGATGCACCGCCGACGTCGCCAACGCATCGTCGATGCATCGGCAGTGCATTGGCGAGGCGGCGTGATCCTCCGACCTCATCTGCTCGGACCCCATCTAAGAGGCCTCTATGGTTGTGTCGCGGCTCTTCTCTCTGACGGCCCCAGGGCCCGAATTGCCGAGCAGAGCCACACCGCACGACAGGGGCGAGCGGCTTTCAGAGGGCACCTTTGCTCGAAGAAGAAAGACGCCTGTGAACATAAACTTTTGGTGCTCCGCACGGGTTTCCTGGATCCGTGCTGGGCCCCCCCAGCGTCGCCTCGGGCGCCGCCCCTGGCGCGCTCCGCGCGGGGAGGGGGGCCCAGCGCAGATGCAAGACAGCAGTTTCTGTGCATGGCGCTTTTTCGTCGTCTGTCTGCATCCCCGCGCCGCGGCCCCTCCTAACCCGTCGCCCTCGGCCATACCACGGGCTACGGGCGGCTTCCGACTTCGGCTTCGGTTTTGGCGCGTCCAAGGGCCTTCTGCGACTTGCCGCGCAGCCCCTGTGCTCTGGTCGCGCTGCAGCGCCCGTCGTGCCCATCGGCCGTTGAAAGTAGAAGTGTTCTCTTGGAGTCCTATGTTCCAATCTACCCGAAGCGCCTGCCTACTTCGATGCTCGAGTGGCTTCACCTTTTCCGTCCTCTTCAGGGGGCGGGCGGACACCCAGTCTATCTTCAACGCCTTCCTACTTCATGGTTCTACCCTCTCTGGGTTTCTTAACAAGCGTGGGGGGTACCCCCCCCGACGGGGGTCAACCTCGCCTTGGCAGCGCGCCGCGACAGGGGTCGGCGCGCGATGGCTGCCCGCGACGGGGGCCGATGTGGGGCCGTCGGCGGGGGTGCCCCCCCCCCTCCCGACGCTTATGGAGAAACTCGGGGTACGTCTTGCGGCCGATGGGTAACTCTTTCGCGATGCCCGGAGGTCTGGGCCTGTACGCTTATAGGAGGAAACTCGGGGTACTTCTTTCGCGATGCCCGGGGCGTGCCCCCCCCCCCCCCCCGACGCTTACGAAGAAGCTCGGGGTACTTCTGCCGGCCGATGGGTAATCCTTTCGCGATGCCCGGAGGTCTGGGCCTGCACGCTGGGTTCGCGTCGTGTCGACCGGCGGCGACCCCAGCGCGGGCGTTCAAGGTTGAACGCCGCCTGTGGCCAAGAATGGGCCCATCCTTGAACGATCTGGCCTTTTTGAAAGGGCCGATCGTTCAAGTTTGAACGATTCTTGAACGATTCCCGCGGTGTCAGGAACCAACGCCGGGGTCGACACGACGCGAACTTGCCGTAGACGCGTCGAGCTGCCTGGGAGCGCCGTGCCCTTTCGTGTTCCGAGACGCTTTCTGTAGAAAGACGCGCAGCCTCCCGCCGTGCTCGCCACTCCACGTTTTCTCCCAGCGCTCAGTCTTGCAGTGGAGGCCCATGCCAAGAAGAACACCCTGCTCGCCTCCAGGGTGCCCTGGGCTTCTTGGGTTTCGATGGTTTTTCGATGGAGAGCGTGACGTTCCCACACCAAACAACTATTTGACGTCCTGGGGTCTCGGGGTCGGGATTCTTGTGGGAGGTTTCTTGTGGTCGGGCCTCCACTGTGTTCGCCATTCCGCTGTTTCTCCCCGCGCTCAGCTTACTGGCCTGTATCTGCATCTGGCCCGTCTTTGCCCCTTGGCCGCGTGAGGAGGGTCCGAGCAGATGGGGTCGGCGGATCGCGCCGCGTCGCCGATTCGTCGGCGATGCGTCCGTGTTCGGAGCCCAGTTTTCTCTATCCCGGTGCCGCCGATGCATCGGCCAGGCAGCGCGATCCTGCGACCCCATGTGCTCAGAACCCACCCGGGCGGCTTCCGCTGCGGTGCTCCAGTCATGGGGGCCGCACGGGCGAGCTCGCGGCGGGTCGTGCGCGATCTCGGGCCACGAGGTGGGGCCAAGGCCTGCGGGCCCGACGGGTATTTGAGCCAGCCAGGGCGCTGGAGGTGCGTTTGGGAACGTTAGGATGTTTTGCTTTCCATGACCTTCTTGATCTGCGGTGGTGCCAGGGCCGGAGTTGCCAAAGCCACGATCTTCACATACGAACCACTGGCGTGGTGGCCCTGCCATGCCGGGCACCTTCCTGCCCCTGCCGTGCGGAAGACGTCGCTCTGTTGCTTCACCAGCGGGCTTGTGGCCTGCGCGTGCGGATCCTCTCAGGGGTGGGATCTCTCCGGTCCGTCTCGAGCACGCCATGGCTGTGCTCTGCGGGGGTGGTCGCAGGCCCGGCGCGGCAAGCTGTGGCTCTTCGCAAGCCAGCCACCCCTCCTGCTTCACGTCCCCCTCTTTAGAGTAGAGGATCGACTGCAGGATCGACTTAACCGATTGCCCGTCGAATCTTCAACAAAGCGTATCATGCCCCGTACACTTACGAGCTGTGCACGATGACACGCTCCGTAATATCGACGAGAAATCAGTCTTGGAATAAACCATTTCTGTGGCCGAACTTCCGCTCGACTGCTCCACGTCCTCCTCTTGCGCCCCCTCCTTCCCGCTGTCCTTCGTCCCCCTCCGCGTCCCAGTCCCTCTGCGTCGGCCCTCTCGTCGCGCTCCGTGTCCTTCTCCTATTGTCGTCGTCGTCCTCCTTCTCCTTTCTCTGCCTCCCCCCCTTTCTCCACCACGCACTGCTGCTCTTGCCTCTCCTCCTGGTCCTCGTCCCTCTCCTCGTCCTCGTCGCCCTGCTGTTCGTTCCGTCATCCCCGTCGTCGTCACAGCCCCCTCTCTTTTTTTTTCTCTCTACATGCTTCCCTCCCCTCCTCTGTGGTAGCGAGAGAGAGAGAGAGAGAGAGAGATAGAGAGAGAGAGGGAGCGCGCGGTACCGCCAGGGGCGGGGCCCGTCAGGGCCTGCGCGGAGGGGGGCCGGAGCCCTCAGTGCATCTTGTCCTCGTTGGCCGAGGTCGGAGTGCTGAGTCTTGCGCCCGGTGGACGTTGGAGGTCGATACGGTAGGTTCGCGTCGTGTCGACCAGCGGCGACCCCAGCGCGGGCGTTCAAGGTTGAACGCCGCCGGCGACCCAGAATCGATCGATGTTGAACGATCGGACGTCGCGGCAGCGGCCGATCGTTCAAGGTTGAACGATCCCTGCGGTGTCAAAAACCAATGCTGGGGTCGGCACGACACGAACCTGCCGTAGGGAGAGGTGGAAGTGGAGAGTCGGAAGCCAGATTCGGGCCGGACGAAAGGGGGGGATTGGGAAAGGGGGGGTACGAAATCTGCTGCATGCAGCTGGTCTCGGCCTCGCCGAGGGGCCCATTCCTCGATACATCGTCGCCTCTGGCGCCGGGAGGCGCCGGGAAAATCAGCTACGTGGGCTGATTCTCAACCCCCCACTTTGCTATCCCCCCCTTTCGCCCGACCCGACAGATGCTGGAGTCGGAGTGCTGGGTTGGTGGAGGTCGGAGGTCGTTCGTCGGAGGTGGAATAGTTGAGGGCCAGGTGCGGGGCGCTTGGTGTCGGAGTGCTGAGCTGGTGGGCGCCCGAGGTCGCTCGGTGAAGCTGGAGGTGGGGCGTCGGATGTCAAAAGCTGCAGGTCGGAGTGCTGGCTGGTGGGTTTGGGAGTGGATAGGCGGATGCTGGATGGTGGATGTCGGAATGCTGGGCTGGTACAGGTCGGAGGCCAATCGGCGGAGGTGCGAGCGACCCGCGCCCAGGGCTCGCGCCGACGGAGGTCGGCGTGTCGTGATGGTGGAGGCTGGAGGTTGGCGGTGGAGGTGGAGGTGGAAGGTCGGCTGCTGCACGATGGAGGTCAGCATGCTGGGCCGGTGGAGGTCGGGGGCCGACCGTCGAAGGTGAGGTGGAACGTCGGCTTCGGGGGCGGACAGAACCCCCCCACGGTGACACGTCGATTCGTGCATTGTCCGCTCTCGGCGCTCGAGAGGGCGCCGCGGCCGTTATTTTTCCGGGCCTGCGCCCGCCAGGTTTGGGCCTCAGGTCGTTTCCACCAAACCACGTTTTACTAAAGGGAGGTCTGTCCATCCCCGACGATTGCTGCATGCTGGAGGCCGGAGGGCCGAGTTGGTGGATGCTGGGCGTTGACAGGTGGAGGTGGGGGCCGCGGGCCGGGGGCGGGGGGGGTGGGGCGGCCCGCAAACAGGCTCCCAGGGCCTCCGGCAGCGCCGATGGCACTCGGAGCAGAAAAACGCACCCCCTGAATCGCCGTGCAGTGCCTGATGTAGTGAGAGGTTTATGCACAGTGTTTGGGGGGGCTACCCCTGACGATTATTCTTGGGCTCGTGTTGCATGACTCCGCCCGCCGCCGTTGTGGATCATTGTTTTGTTGATCGGCTGTCGGGGTTACATTTTGGGATAAACAGAAATGCTACTCCTAGCGGTGATGTTTTTGGTCGTGGTGGTTGTTCCTCGTTATGGTCGTGGTGGCTGCTCGTGGTCGTAGTGGCTGTTTCTGGTCGTGGTCGTTGTTGCTGTTATTGTGGTCGTGGTGAATGCAACACCGCATCATGGACACACACACACACAGGTGTTACCGAACACCCCCTTCCTGGGTGGACGCCGGCGTGTCGCCGTGATGGTCGGGGACGTGGTCGTGATGGCTGTTTCAGGCCGCGTAGGCTGTTTCTGATCGTGGTCGTGGTGGCTATTCGTGGTCTTGGTGGCTGTTTCTGGTCGTGGTCGTGGTGGCTGCGCGTGGTCCTGGTGGCTGTTCGTGGTGGCTGTTCCTCGTGGTGGTCGTGGTGGCTGTTCACGGTCGTGGTTGCTGTTTCTGGTCGTGGTCGTGGCGGCTGCTCGTAGTCG